CCCCAATGGTCGCAGTCGGAGAGCAAAGACGGCGGACGCGGTCGCGGAGGAGACCCCGGCGCTCCTTGCGGCGGCCGAGGAGGTCGAGGCGGCGAGCGCGGGGGTCGCGGGCGAGGGAGCTCAGAGCAGAAGGGGTCCGAAGGAGAGCATGGCGCTGGAGCAGTTGAACTTTGCAGCCTGGGCGCGAGCCCGCTGGGGGACGACGTCGCCAACGGGGGCCAGGTCAAGCTGAATTTCGACGCGGGCTCGGCGAAGCCGGCGCGCCCAGATTCGATCGCGATCGGCGAGAATGTCGAGAGCGAGAAGGTCTTGCAGTTCAACGCGGCCGCCTGCGAGGTGGTCAAGATCACAGACGGCCACCGCGGCGAGGGCGCGACCAGCACGGGCAGCAGGTCAGCTTCAACGGGGCGAAGGCTCCGGCGCGGAAGGCGCTGCCGTCCGCGGGCGAGGTGGCGAACAGAGAGGACGACGCATGCTCGATGGGCGATTTCGGCCGCACAGCGCGCGCGAAGTCGCCGATTCGCAGGGGGCTGAGAGCCGCGCTCCGAGAGATCGCGGCGCGACACTACCACGAGGGTGCCATCGCAATGCGCAGGGAGAAAAGCGTCTGCAACCCAACCTCTACGCGAACGTCGGCGACGAGGCGGAGACCTCGGAATACCTGCGCCCACGTGAAGAGCAACCGGGTTTTCCGCTGCAGAGCAAGATCCCATCGGCGGCGCGCCGGCAGCTGCTGATCCAGAGCAAGATGACGCGCAAGGTCTCTCCGGGAGGTTCCGAGGCGGCCGCGCCCAGCCCGCGCCCCGAGCCAGCGGGAAGTCGAGGTGCGCGAAGCCTCGGGCCATGCATGCTGCGCACTGGAAATGGCGCAGTCACTGCGTGCTGGGCAAGGGCCAGCATCGCCCGCGTGTGGTACGTCAGTAGCAGTGCGAAATCCCAGAGACGTGCTTCGATTGCGGCTACACGCGCTCGAAGCGCACCGAGTGCGCACCGATCGGGGGAGCGAGAGAGACGAAGAACGGCAGCTGCGCTGCGACCGCCGCCCCGTCGGAGGGTTCGCCCCCCTGCGCCGACTACTGCCCGCTACAAAGGGTCGGCAAGGCCAAAGAGGAGATCGAGAAGCGTCGTCGTGAAGGAGGGGGTTACCATGTACGCGCGCGCGTGAAGGCGCGCTGGAAGCAGCTCTACCCTTGGAGATGTTTCCTCCACGAACGCCCCAAGCACGCAGACTCGTAGAAGTTGGCGGGGATGGTGGATCTAGCCCTCGAGGGGCGGGCACGCGAGGCCAGCGGCCCCGCGCGCAATCGAAGCCTGCAGGCGACCGACGGCGACGGATGGCGAGGGCATGCGCGGAAGGAGACCACCATGGTTCATCGACTCGGCAGAGTTGCTGGCCCAGCTTTGAGGAGTCTGCCTGAACTACCGCGGCGGGCTGATGCGCCGGCGCGCTCGCGTGGTCGGCGGAGCCCGACCAGCTGCGGCAGCGAGCTGCGCGCCAGAACTGGCCCGCGGGATCCTCGAGGTGTTCGAGCGGCAGCTGGAGGAGGTGACGGAATGGTCGCGCGCAGCCTCCTGGGCGGCGCGGCGCCGGGCGAGCCGCTCTGGCGGGGCGAGCCGAGGGGCGCGGGCGAGATCGAGCGAGCCCGGGGCAACAACGAGGAGCTGGACCTGGAGAAAGGTCATGGAGGCCAGGGCCGCGGGGCTGGCGCGGGTGGACAACGCGACGGCATTCGCGCTGGCGCCGGAGGTCGAGCGCGCGAGGGCGCAAGGCAGCCGTTGACCATGAAATGATCGACGCAAAAAAGGCCAATGGAAGATGCCAGTCGAGACGCGCGCGCAGGGATATCACGAAGGCCAAGAAGTTGGAGGGCCCGCTCGGCCCAGCGGACGTCTTCAGCGCCTTGCCGCCCATCGAGAGCCTGGAGATGTTGATCAGCGGGCGGCTCGCAACCGACGACTGCAAGGGCCTGGGCGAGTGCGCGCTGGCGGCGATCGACATCTGGAGGGCGCACTTCACGGCCGAGCAGAACAAGAAGACAGTCTCACGCGACCCTGGCCGAGGGCAGGCAGAAGGAGGGCCGCGTCGCGAAGCTCCTGAGGGCGACGCACGGGACAGAGGACGCGGGGCGAGACGTGGGCAGACCAGCTGGGGAAGCACGGCATCCAGATAGGTGAGGCGCCAGGCGCGCTGTTCAAATGCGAGAAGGTCCTGGGCACGTGCCACGGCGACGACTTCGCGGCGCTGACGAAGCGGATGCACCTCGGGGACTCCAGAGCTCAGGAAGATCCTGGAGGAGAACTTCGACGCCAATTGTGGCGCGGTGATAGGCTTTGGCCAGAATGACGAAAAGTCGATGGTCATCTTGAATCGAGAGGTTCGAGTGAATGATGCGACGCGCTCGATCGAGCCAGAGTCCGACAGGAGGCGCATCGCCAGGCTCGTACATGATTTTGGCATGGAGGACTGCAAGGCGGTTCCTACACCCAGGGCTGAACTTCGCGAGGTCGAGACAGCTGAGAGGGAGATGACGAATCCGATGGGACCAGCAGATGTGACGAAGCACAGAAGTTGCACGATGAGGTTGAAGTACTTGGACCAAGACTGGGTCGACATCACAGAGACGGCGGAGTGCCTCGCGCAGCGCATGTCGAGCCCGCGCGAAGGCCGCATGATGGAGCTAAAGCGCGCGGCCCCGTACCTGAAGGGAGTTCCTCGCGAGATGCCGGCGTGCAGGGTCCAGCAGAAAGGCTACTTGAAGTGCTGCGTGGACATTTATTGCGTAGCAGCAACGCGTTGCAGTCGGTGGTGGCGCCTTCGAGCGCCGGGGCCGAGTGCTGCGCGATGTCCAGAAGGCGCGGCCTACAGTCTTGGCGCGAGGAGCTACTTCAGGGACTTGGGCCTAAATTTAGACGTGCGTGTATCTCTATGTGTGTATATATATACACATACATATCATATATATATATAATATATATATATATATATATATATATATATGTGTGTGTGTTTATGTTTGTATATACATGAGATGTGTACATATATATATATATATATATACATATATTCGAGTTCAGACAAGAGTTTTGCTGCTAGGGGAGGCCTAGTGGAACAAGGTCACATCATCACGCGCTATCTGTGGATGCAAGCTTACAGCCAACGTATATTCCGTACACAAAGTAGATAGATAGTACAGGGAATCCAGCATACCTTATGCAGAAACAGTAGTCGGCCAATGACATGACACGATACATGGATTACTGTAGCCAGGAAAGGTCCGCTGCCACACATTCCGCGAAATGAGAGTACGAACGAATTTTTGCAGCAATTGGAGAACCGATTCTAGAGCACATTAGCTGGGCACCGCCAATAGGATCCCGAGGAAAGACCCCAGATCGTGACGAGACAGGCGTTTCGGGGCGGCGTGACTAGCATACTAGCTAGCCACAGGAGTATCCTTGTCAGCCCCAACATGCGGAGAAAGCGAGCGGGAACTTTGCACACGCCCTGTGTTCTGCGATGTTCGGCTCAAGCTCGTGGGGCTCACTGCGGCTCATGAAAATAATCAATCACATTCACCTCCTAGTGCCTTCTTGGGGCCCTCCTAGGGCGCTCCTGGGCAGTCGGGGGGTCGTCATGGGAGCCTTATGGGCCTCTCTTGGGCCATCTTGGGGCCACCTTGGAGGCTTCAAAACCACATCGGAAGCGAAACAACGAGAATGCAAACAGTATTGGGCTTCACCGGTTTTTGAAGGAGCTCGGCTTGGGAAGTCCTGCGAAAGTTCCGAGAGCATTTGATGCCGTTGTATGGTCCTCTTGAGGCCTCCTGGGAGCATGTCAGGCGTCATCTTGGACTATCTTCGGCTGTCGGGAGCCATCTTGGGACCCTCCTGGGCGCCCTGACAAACCCTGGAAACCCCCAAAGTGGTGGCCCGGTTCACGGTCCCAGAGCCTGGCGAAGGCGGGGCCGAGAGCAGCAGCAGCCCTCCCGCCGTGATCCTTCCACGACGCTATCTGGCGCCATCCGACCGATCGACCTACCTCCCTTGAGCAAAGGGCCCGACCGTCCCTCCTTCCCGTAGGCCTGCCACGACCTGTTCTTAGAATTAGGTCGGGCATGTCTGAAGGGCCCCAAGAAGGTGCCAAGAGGCGATGTTGATGGTTCTTGAGGAGGGGGGCTAGATTGAGAAGCCCCGTCCTTTGATCGACGCCCGCCAAGGTGGCCCTAGAGGCATCCGCGAAGGCTCCAAGAGAGCCCCACGACCGCCGAAAAGAGCCCAAAGAGGGCCCCAATACCATGAAAGACAGTCACAAGAGGGCCGCGAGAGAGCCCCAGGAGGATCCTAAGAGGGTCTCCAGAAGACCCCAAGCCGGCCACCAGAGTCGTTGTCTTCTTCTCCGTCTTCGTTTTCTTCCTCCTCGCCCCCGTTTTCCTCCTCGTTGTCCTCTTCGTCCTCCTCCTCCTCGTCCTCATCCTCGTCCACCTCCTCCTCCGTCTCCTCCTCCTTGTATTCCTCCTCATCCTCCCCCCTGGTTCTCCTGGTTCTCCTCGCTCTGCGGCCGGATCGTCTGCCTGGGCTCGCCTCCAACGCGCTCTTGCCCTCCTTCCCTGTCCTGGGTCTGAGCAGGCTGATCTCAAACCTGTTCTACTGCATGCTTCTCCATTGTCCTGATCAAGGCAACTCGCCGAGGTATCGTTTCTGGAGGGGCTGGTGGGAAGACGCGAGGCGCCACAACATTTGTTAGACCAGCTACGCCCAGAGGGCTGGTAGGATTCACTCAGGGAGCAGTTTGACTCGTCATGAGAAGGGGCGGAAGTGGAGAAGGAAGACAGTAGGGAAGCACACGAGTACGTTGGATGGGGAAGGGGGTCAGGCAAAGCGAGGATGTTCGGGAGGATGTGGAGGAGGAAGAGGAGGAGGAGGAGGAGGAGCAGGAGGAGGAGGAGGAAGAGGAGAGGGAGAAGCACCAGGATAGGGGGGCGCCGCTCGCGAACGCCCAGGCCACCGGGAACGAGGCGGCCACTGACCAGGACGCGACGTGCGACGACGCAGAGGATCACCCGAGCGGGCATTCCTCATTCTCACCTCCCCCATCCATCCTCCCCCCCCCTCTTCCTGTCCTCCCCGTTAATCATTCTCTGTCCTCCCTCTCATTTTTTTTTGTTCTCTCTCTCTCTCTGTCTGTCTCTCTCTTTCTCTCTCTCTCTCTCTCCCTCTTGCTCTCTTTTTCACTTCCTCTCTCTCTCTCTCTCTCTGGAGCAACCCGTTAAAGCATCCCTGTTCTGGTCAAACTTAACATAAACAAGCACATTCGCCGTCGCACCCTCGCCCTGGTCGCCGTCGCACATGTGTGTCTTCCGCTTTGTACTGTTAGATCGTCAATCTATCTATCCATTCCGCAGGCGCCGTCACCTCAGCTTGTCTGCGCATCTGTTTTGCCATCTGCACCTGTCATCCAGCACCCGCGGCCCGTCACGTTTTACCGCTCCCAGGGGCAGAGTTGAGCGATTCCCCAAGCCACCTTCGCCGCACGGCTGGTCGGATTCTCGGTCCCAGAAAAAAACGCACGCCGCCGCGAGTTGCCTTAGGAATCTCGTGGAGGCTTCCTGGAACCTTCGTGGGAGGAAGGGTAGGAGGAGGAGAAGGAGGAGGAGGGGGAGGAGGAGGAGGAGGAGGAAGAGGAGCGTCTTGGTTTCTCTTGGGGCCATTTCGGGGCACTCTTGAGCCCCTCTTGGGGCAGTCTCTGGCCCTCCTTAAAACGCTTGGTTTGTCTAACGCAATCTTCCAGGTGACACCTGTCACCCTTGCGCTCTTTTTACACTGTATCGTTTCATGTTGGCGCCCAGGATGCAAGTGAAACAGCTAGTTGTTCTTAATCTGACCTCGGGGATGGCATGTGTCGCCTCTGTATTTCTTCACGCTATATGACCCTGTCCTGATGTCCAACATACATGTGAAGCGCTTGTTTTGTGTTTTGTGACACGCAGTACGTCGCAGTCGCATCCCCCCACCCCTCCGCGCGGGCAACCGCCACCGCCACCGTCCCCGACGCCCCCCCTTGTCGAATCCTAAACACCAGCTTGATGGTTTATGCACCTGTGGAATTGGGTACTCCCCCGTCCAAGTATTTCCCAACCATCCTGTGGTGTTGGGTCCTCGTTTTGAAGAAACGGTCCCCGCGTTCTCCTCTCCTCTCCTCCTCTTCCCCCTCCTCCCTCCTCCCATCAGCATCATCATCATCATCGTCATCATCATCATCGTCATCATCATCATCATCATCATCATCATCATCATCATCATCATCACCACCATCATCATCATCATCATCATCATCATCATCATCATCATCGTCATCACCCACCATCATCGTCATCATCACCATCATCGTCACACCTCTCACACGTTTCGTGGCCCCATAGGGAGCTCCACCGAAGGCCCCAGTGCCGCCGCCCGCATGCGTCAGCCACACCCAATTCGGCATACCCCACACGTTTCGTGGCCCCATAGGGAGCTCCACCGAAGGCCCCAATGCTGCCGCCCGCATGCGTCAGCCACACCCGGTTCGGCACACCCCTCAACGTTTCGTGGCCCCATAGGGAGCTCCACCAAGGCCCCAGTGCCGCCGCCCGCATGCGTCAGCCACACCCAATTCGGCACACCCCTCACACGTTTCGTGGCCCCATAGGGAGCTCCACCGAAGGCCCCAGTGCTGCCGCCCGCATGCGTCAGCCACACCCATTTCGGCACACCCCTCACACGTTTCGTGGCCCCATAGGGAGCTCCACCGAAGGCCCCAGTGCTGCCGCCCGCATGCGTCCCCACACCCATTTCGGCACACCCCTCACACGCTTTCGTGGCCCCATAGGGAGCTCCACCGAAGGCCCCAGTGCCGCCGCCCGCATGCGTCAGCCACACCCAGTTCGGCACACCCCTCACACAGGGAGCTCCACCGAAGGCCCCAGTGCCGCCCGCATGCGTCAGCCACACCCGGCACACCCCTCACACGCTTCGTGGCCCCATAGGGAGCTCCACCGAAGGCCCCAGTGCCGCCGCCCGCATGCGTCAGCCACACCCAAGTTCGGCACACCCCTCACACGTTTCGTGGCCCCATAGGGAGCTCCACCGAAGGCCCCAGTGCCGCCGCCCGCATGCGTCAGCCACACCCAATTCGGCACACCCCTCACACGTTTCGTGGCCCCATAGGGAACTCCACCGAAGGCACATGCGTCACCCACACCCAGTTCGGCACACCCCTCACACGCTTCGTGGCCCCATAGGGAGCTCCACCGAAGGCCCCAGTGCCGCCGCCCGCATGCGTCAGCCACACCCAATTCGGCACACCCCTCACACGTTTCGTGGCCCCATAGGGAGCTCCACCGAAGGCCCCAGTGCTGCCGCCCGCATGCGTCAGCCACACCCAATTCGGCACCCCCTCACACGTTTCGTGGGAGCTCCACCGAAGGCCGCAGTGCCGCCGCCCGCATGCGTCAGCCACATTCGGCACACCCCTCACACGTTTCGTGGCCCCAGCCCGCATGCGTCAGCCACACCCATTTCGGCACACCCCTCACACGTTTCGTGGCCCCATAGGGAGCTCCACCGAAGGCCCCAGTGCCACCGCTCGCATGCGTCCCGCACACCCATTTCGGCACCTCCACCAAACACAGCGTTTCGTGGCCCCACAGGGACCTCCACCGAAGGCCCCAGTGGTGCCGCCCGCATGCGTCACCCCCACCCCAGCACAGCATTTCGTGGCCCCACAGGGAGCTCCACCGAAGGCCCCAGTGGTGCCGCCCGCATGCGCCACCCCCACCCAGCACAGCGTTTCGTGGCCCCACAGGGAGCTCCACCGACGGCCCCAGTGGTGCCGCCCGCATGCGTCACCCCCGCCCAGTACAGCGTTTCGTGGCCCCACAGGGACCTCCACCGAAGGCCCCAGTGGTGCCGCCCGCATGCGTCACCCCCACCCAGCACAGCATTTCGTGGCCCCACAGGAAGCGGCACCCGCAATGCGATATTCACAATTGCGCATGGTTGGGTCCTTCGCCAGGATAATTTTGTTCCTTGGCTCCGTTTTCTGAAACGTGAGGAAATCTTTTTCGCCGCAGAGAGGCATCGTAGAGTCTTCCAAGACTCCCCACGATACCTCGTAAGAAGCCTCTGTGGGGCCTCTACGAGGCCTCTCCAGTGCCTCTAAGAGGCTGTAAAGAGGCTTCTACAAGGCCTTTACGAGGCTTTTAAGAGACCTCTATGAGGCCGGCACGATGCTTCTAAGAGGTCTCTACGAGGCTCTACGATGCCTCTGAGGAACCTCTACGATGCGTCTTCTAAGAGACCTCTACGATGCGTCTAAGAAGCCTTTACGATGCCTTCAAGATGCCTCTAAGAGGCTTCTGAGAGGCCTCTTTGATGCTTCTGAGAGGCCTCTTCGATGCTTCTGAGAGGCCTGTTCGATGCCTGCAAGAGGCCTCTGCGATGCCTCCTCTACGAGGCCTCCTAGGAGGCCTTTACGATGCCTCTAAGGAGTCCTCTGCGATGTGCCTGAAAGGCTTTAAGAGGCTTCTACGATGCTTCGACGAGGTCTCTGAAAGGCTTCTGAGATACCCCTGGGAATCCCTTCCTACGAATCTGGCAGTTCCTAATTGTTGACGCTTCGCGTATCCCCACCAGCCGTCCTCTGACTGGGTCGCTGACGTGCTCCCGTTTATTGATGCTTACCACTGTTGGCCGTGCTGTGCCACCCTGTGGACAGTGATGCACGGTCTCGGCGTGTGACGGGCACTCGGTCTCCCTATCGTCGCTCCCACGCGCAACCTGGCTGTGTGACCACTCCCTGGGACTCTGTGACCGTGAAGGGCCTGCTGACGTGGGTATACGGCAGCTTCGTCCTCTTCGAGCGCTCTCCTCGACCTGGCGTTGCGTGGGTTGCGAGGCGCCGGTTGTCACTTAGTCGGTTGGTACGCGCCCACTTCCGATTGACCGCGTGTCCCCCGCCAGGTGGGTACTTGTGTACTTCTGCACTGCGGCACACCATATCTCTGGTCTCCTGCGTGCAGGCGCATCTCTCAGCAGTCGTCCGAGTTTGCCCCAGTTGTCCTATGACCTCTGGCTCACTCTCTGTCAGCCGCTGGATGCGTATTCTGAAGCTGCGACGGTTCGCTGGCGCTGTCAGAATTCCGCTCCTTGCTGGACGACGTCAGCTACGCTATCGGTCTGCTCATACCCGACAGACACCCTGGGCTGACCTTTGTTGCGCGGAGTTTGGTTCCCACCACCATGCGATTGTCGGTTGTCACGACCCATGACTGGGAATGTACGGCGCGCCATTTTGGCCGCCTCCGCTTTGCTTCTTGGGTGACTGACCCTTCAGACTCCCTGGGTTGCAGCTTGCACGACCGCCTGGCCTCTCAGACGCGCGCGCCCGGGTAATTCGTCGCGGCCTCAGCCCGACCGTGACCCCTCGCCGCCGGCGCTTCCGCCTGCGGCTGTAAAAAAATTACTCCGACGGAAGGACCCCGCATGAGAATCCTCGGGGCGAATCTGGGAAAAACCCTCGCCGTCGTCCTCGTGGATGGCGAGGCGTCCTGGCTTGTTTCTTCCGCGTATATTTCGAAACGAACTAACATGATCTGCGGGCCCCATAGGGAGGGGGCTCCCGCCTGAGACTTCCTCGCCATTCACTCACAAACGAGGCTCCCGCCTGATACTTCTCCCATATTCAGGCCTCAGGAGCCCAAAAGTGACGACAGTTATAGGTTTCCGATGACCCGCTCGGATTAATAACATGATCTGCGGGCCTCATAGGGACGGGGCTCCCGCCTAAGACTTCCTCGCAATTCATTCACAGACGAGGCTCCCGCTCGAGGCTTCCTCCATACTCAGGTTTCAAGAGCCCAAAACTGACGACAGTTGCACGTTGCGGATGATCCGCTCGGATTCGAACATGAAGCGCGGGCCCCATAGGGAGGGGGCTCCCGCTTGAGACTTCCTCACAATTCACTCACAGACGAAACTTCCGCTCGAGACTTCTTCCATATTCAGGTCTCAAGAGCCCAAAAGTGTCG